ACACATCATTTTTCATTACACAACAACTAATTAAGCTTGAAACGATTTTCGAATGATTTTTTTATGACAAGATTTTTTAGTCAAATTAAGTCCACCCTAAAAGCATTTTATGCTGCGCCTCCGACTGAAACACGGTGCCAATCCAATCCGCCTGGCCGAGTCCTGACCAAGTACAAGTTTCAAGCTCACGTAGGACGCCCCCACCCGTGAAGGAGTCCTGCGAAAATCCAACCCCACTCCCAATCCTGGATATCTGCTGTTATCGCCGAGGGCGATATTTTCAATGCGCTGTCGGTAAAAATTACGCACTCTTAGTTGGTCGCCTTCGTCCGCGGATGTTTTCAGCGACTGTCAGCTGGTTTCATTTTTCCTTTTTTGCTCTTTTCGCTAGCCAACGGCGGGACATGAATATTTTAAAAAATTCGCCAGGCTCATCGCAGGATTGGGACGATGTTTTAGATGTTTAGATGGCGAACGCGGAGACGCACACGCACAGTGAATAATTTAAGGACTCCGTAGACAGACGGATCCTGGCATCATCAAATAAATGCCAAATGAGCAATCAAAGTGCCATGAAAGACTAACTAAGCAGAGCCACCATCTGATGGGGGCTGTAAAAAATGATGTACACGAATTATCGGGACAGTGGGTGGCTATGGGAGGTGTTCTGGTTCCGCAAATGAAGCGCGTAAACAGCAAATAAAGTTGAGGGAATTTTTACGCATTTTTTACTTGCATAAATAATGAAATGTTCCCTTATAACTTTTGGTTTGCTGCGCGGAGTAGAAAAGCGTGTATTTTTGCAGTATTTCTTTATGACATTTAATTCAAAGCATGGTCAAACAGAATTGTAAAATTGGCAAACTTCAAAGTTTAAGTATGCGGCACAAGTTAAAATCATGTTATGGATTTTTTAGAATTAAAGTATTGTAAAATTTGAAACCAAAAAAATGTTTGATACAAAGGATTTATCTTAGACTGTAATTTGTTCGCCCTGCATTTTCCTGGCGAATTGGCTAAGGAAATTTAAAGTGGTCTACGCACCGAAGACAAAAGCAAATAGCTGGCGAAACTGAATTATAGATTCAACTCGAGGCGAGCAACTTGGCAGGCGCTCCTCCTCGATGGAAGACAAAAACTTATTATACGCCGGGGCTTTTCCCGCATCAGCTGGGACCCCAGTGGGTGGTGGGGTGGAAAAGTGGGGTCTGCACTCACAGCCCCGTATTGTCGATACATAAGCAATTGGTATGTACAACTGCGCCGCCTGCTTTTCCGACTTTCCCCACTCGATTTTCGCCGGCAAGCCGGCAGAGAAATGCGGTTATGAATTCCTGAACAGAAAAGTCGGGGAGCAGCGGCATCGACTGCAGTTGGCTCGCACAAGAGGCTGAAGTTTTTTATTAAAACTTGTGCAGCGAAATGAGCGTCGGGCTAAATAAAATATAAAAAATAAAAAGTTTCATAAAACATTTGTGACTTTGCGCAATTTTTATGGCTTTCAACTTAAAGTTGCCCGTGTGGGCCAAGAAACAGGGGCCTTAACTAGGCAACTATTGGTCGGGGAGGTCTATGGAGCCCAGGCACGTTTTGTGGCCAGTTCGAAACGAAAGTGGAAGAATTTATTGCACTGACATACTAAGATGCTTCCTATTTTGTTATCGAAATGGGGCAAGTGCGCTCGAGCGTATAAATTGAATGTGCCCCACCAAGAGGTAGGTACAAAGAAATATGTTATCTAGGTTAGTTGTGGGATTATTGATCGGCCATTTATCTAACAGGGTGATAAAAGAGTTGATAGATTGAAACTGCTAATGCATCTGCACAGCAAAAAAGTTTATTATTTCTTAGATTTCATAATAATATTATTATGGCTGGTTCACTCAAATGAATGAAATGCCTTCCCAAAAAACAGTGCAAATATTCCTGCAGACGTCTTCGCCTTAGTTAAACACAATTTTGCCCAGCCAAATGGGCGTAACACAGCCCTATTTATGTGCACTTTGAACCTATCATCTGTGCTTACTCACAAATGGCTCAACTTTGGTATCAGTTGTTAAGTGGAAAGGCCAGGACACAAAAGCACACCAAAAATCGACAGAAGCCATGGCAGAAATGCAACAACTTAAGCTTCTGGCAGCCACACAATACACAAATCCCAGTTTCGGCTTAAATGCCAAACAAATTTTGCAACAAATTTTGCCGTTATCGAAATGACCCATTGACTGCTGTGCACTTTGGCTCACACACACTCTGAAACACATATCGCTCTAATGAAACGCAATATCTTCGAGACAATGCTAATTGCCAACGATGCAAACGAAGCTGCATTGAGCGCAGCAAATGCAACCAAATTATCCGGCTAAATTCTACAGCCCGTGCACTGCGAAAAATACTTAAACATAATAAAGGATTGTTAAGGATTTGTTAAGAAGATTCTTCCTAATTTGGTCTTATTACGAAGCACACGTGTGCTGTGCTTTACTGCACACAAAATGATACAAAAACAGCTTAAAGGCATTAAATAAAACAGCGAATTTATAAGTAGATTTGTTTTTTAAAGCAAGTACCAATTTATTTTTGAACTAGAGCCTTTTTTGCCTTTGTGTATGTGCGAGCCCGTCTGGCATATTTGTGTGTGCATGTTTGTGTAGAAGCATTCATTTCTCTGAACGTTTCGTTAACTTGGCCAAAAGCCAATTTTCAGCCAAAACGCATGCCAAATTTGCCAAAAACGGAGCGAGGCGAAATAAGAGAAATAGCTAAATATTTTATGATATCGATGAGGCAGGCAGTTCCGCAGAGCAACTCCCAAGCCCACAGAAGCCCCTTCGTGTTGTTTGAAAAGTAGTTCAGCAATAACAGCAGAGCGCATTGACAGGCCATTCGAATGCAATTTTATACTCTGCAGCTCAGCTGGGGCCACTGAATTTTAGTAGGATCAGGCTATAAGCTTGTAATGGAACCGCGAAAGCAAAGGATCCTTCATCTTTCATTAATCAAAAAGCAAAGAATGTTAAATCAGTACCCACAACCTTATGCGGTTTGCTGTCTAAGAAGCTTAGTAATTTTGGCCAAGTAATCCAGGTTGAATATTTATTTATTGGGCTTGTGCCTAGCAGAATCGCAGGGTATTTGGCGCACTTGATAAATCTTGGATATGCCTGTGGCTGCTCGCTTATTGTAGCCATTTATGGGAAACTCGTGAAATATGACCTTAGTTATCCACAGGCAAGGGAGAACTTGGCCAGTCTCCCCAGGCCAATCAATACACGATGGCAGCCTAGAAGTATGCAAACGAGCCCCAAAACAAAAGCTTTCGATGATAGAGCGAACTTGGAGCACTCACCTGCAGCTGCATCGTGGGCGGAGGCACTCCCACTCCCATTGCCATTCCCACCTTGTTCCACCTGATTTAAGCCATCGATATCGATGCTGGACAGCGACTTCTTGCCGCGCCACACGCTAACGCCACAACACTCGGCGCAGCAGCAGAAGACAAAGCCCAGAATGAGCAGGATCCAGGCGGAGACCATCAGGACTATGGTGGAGGTGGATCGGTAGTTGTAGTTCTCCTCGCCGATGAGCACCAGGACACTCTCGGCCGTTAGGTTGGCATGGGTGGCAGTGCCATTTGCATGGAAATCCAGTAACTCGGCCTCCAAGGTCGGCGCATAAAAGCCATCCACATTGGCCAAAGCTGCAAAACTGCTGCCCACCGTGTGCAGGTATGGTTGCACTTTGGTCACACGCACCACCGTGTAATTAGCCATGCTGCATCAATCAATCAATCACTTGACCAGCTTATTATTAACTGCAACTTGGCACGAGAACGTATGAACTGAAGCGCCAAACGTGACCGTTTCTTTGGTAACCCGCCAGCAAACTGAACTAGTTGGCCGCTCAACGTTTATTCTGCGCATATATTATTTATTTTATTCCTTTGGTTTTGGATTCGGTTTCTGGCTTTCGGATTTCGTACTTTGTGTGTGAAAAACAGCGACAACAGCTGACGACTGAACCGCAGTTTGGACAGATTGTTTAATGCCCATGCCCGCAATCTTCGTTATCACATTATGTGCTTAAGCAGATAGATCGAGCTACAGTGACAACGACTCTGTTTCGTCTCTGTTTAAACAATATTGTACGCGTATTAACGCCTGCCTGCCAGATTTTGTTTAATTATTATTTTTATTTTTTAGCCAGACAGGCCTGTTTGGGCCTTCTCCTCTCGCGGGTTTTTACCGAGTTTTGCTTACCAGTGAGTGTCTTACTGAAGTTGATCGGGCGTGGTAGATTCTCCCAGGCCCGTGGTAAAGCTCTTTTGTGGAGAACGGCCAGAAGCTTTCTGTAATTCTTTGAAGAGCATCTGCTGTCTACTAATCTTTCCCAAACGCTAGAACCTCTCAAGTATTTCATTGGAGTTCCGCATTGAAAACAAAAAATATGGATGCGGCAATGTCCCTTAATGGAACCTACGTGTATGTATATAAAATAATTTGTTAAAATACTTCAGCTACAAAATATACGTATATTTTCTTATTTTCAAATAGTTCGTTTACGGGTTCTTTTAGTTTCCAACTGAAAACAACATTAGTATATTAAGTTAAAATATTATAATAGTCAAGCTTGTTGTATTTGATATATACTCAACCAACTTCTCTGCCTATTTATATTAAATATAAGAAATGCTGAATAAATACCCAAAAGGAATACGATACGAAGCAGACAGATATACGAAATAATAATATTTAAACATTTTTTAACATGCAGTGTTTCTTAGGTTTTATTGAACAACCGAATAAACTCCAAAAAACATTTTTATGTTCATTTTTTCGGCTGGCAACTGGTCCAGGTATTGAAAGCTGTGATCCCATAATATTTGGTAAGTCATATAGGTCCAGGTAAACACCATACATGCAAATGAGAAAAATGCTGTTTAAATAAAAAAAGCTCGCAGTGGCAAATGCGATGTATTTTTACTGACATCCATCAGTATTATCAGTATCACAGATACAAGGAGAACATGTTATGTTATATATATTTAAATTTATTTTGCGTTCTACTGCTAGTGGGTAAGTCAGATAAGTTTCTGCAAATTATTTTGAGTATTTAAATTGTGTAATTCGTAGACTTGGGACAATCAAACCTTGAATATGCTGACTACATCGATCCAGAAGCAGACTTAGATTACCACCTAACACGGCCTGATGTGGCTGATAGTGATAATGAGATGACAACGTCGTATGATTATCACCATGAAATCCATGACAGTACTAACCACCCAGATACTCAAGCAGAATTGTCAACTGAAACTTATGATGAATCGCACTATGATCATTTAACCACTCGAATGAATTATTTTCCAGGTAGTTTGAATGATAAAACCAAAGTGCAGCAAATTTTCTATGTTCCAAATGATACTGAAAACTCAGACACACATTATGTTCACCATGACCCACACGTTACCCATGAAATTGATGATCGAATAGCGCGATATGCGTTGCATAAGTGGCACGAAGAAATTTGATTTGTATGGCAAATAAAATACTTAGTTCTTTACTTCAATGCTCTCTTTTGTTTTTTAATCATTTCATTTATGCCTTGCTGGATGCTTATTAGTTGCGTCTGCGTTCCATACCAGCCCTCCTAGCAATGTCTTCACAGTTCATGGGTGATTCCCAACCTAGAGCATAAAAATAACATTTAAAGATACGAATTCCAATAGGTTTTCGCATATCTTACCCAAGCACATGAGCTTGGCCAGCTCACAGCGTCCCACGTTCCTCCAGCGCCAAGAGGATTCGGTCCTTTGTTTGCACTCCTTATTAAAGAGGGGTAGATCGCGATCGACGGCATTATTTAGACGCCTCGTACAGGATTCACATCGACTTGCGAATTCGTCGCAGTCCCGATCCTGAGCAGCAACCAGAGTCAGGCATATGACTGAGAACCGAATGTTAAAGTTATGAACATGGTTTTATACATTTTTCTAACTCAAACTTACCAAAACAGACGGTTAACACGGTTTTCAGGCCCATAATTTTAGCTAAACTCTTACGATGGAAACTTATCAGTGGGCACACTACAGAAGTCTTCGATCCAACTTGACTTTATATAAATACCATAAACAATATAAATCAGAAATGCCAGATGTTTTAAAAATATGGCAGGTATTTAAATCAGAAATAAAAGCCTTTAGTAACGGGTGGAAATGTTTTAGGAAATGTATTCAAATTAAGACATCTTTTTGTTAAGTTGAATAAGCCATATTGGTGGAAATGTTTTAGGAAATGTATTCAAATTAAGACATCTTTTTGTTAAGTTGAATAAGCCATATTGCTTCCTGAATGTCATGTGAAAAGTTATACAAAATGAAGTGCCGGGTCTTTCCAGTTTATAAGCCCAAGTTTAGGCTCACTCAACACAGATCATAAGCGAATTTCAGTACGGATATCACGATGCCGAAGATTTCTCTGTTTGTTGGTAAGATCTGCAAATGGAACTTCTGATCCCAAAAACTTATATTGCCAAATATCTATATTATCCTTTTATTTAGCTTTCATTTGCTTATTTGTTATCGTTTATGCCCAAAGCGATAGAGATATTTGTAAACGATTGAACGACAGATGTGATTCAAGGGTCTTGAGAAATGGAAGAAACAACGATGTTTCGAATATTTTCAATGAGAATTGTCGGCGATCCAATAGAAATTGGCGCGATATCTCCCGATGCGAACTCGCAAAAGCCAATTGCATATGTAAGTATATTAATTTGTGTATTTTTATATATTTTATATGTTTACTTTGCACAGTGACCCTTGAACGATGTGATACCGTGACCTGCGAGAATGTCAGGCGAGTCCTTGCCTAATAAAATACCGAGACCAGATTCGGATGACATGTAAAAAACAAAAAAAAATCAAATTCTGCATTTAAATAAATACTTCGATGCTCTCTATTTATATGTTATGCATAATAGATATTTTCGCTATATTTATCTGGGAATCGAAGATATTGTATATAAATAGTCGTATTAATGGTAAGTTAAGATGACTAATATACGTTCAAAATTAATATTTGAAAAATGGTTTTTGACAATATAATCATTATTTATATTTTGTACATATCAAAGTATTTCATCAAAATATATGTTTCTTTTGGGGTAAAAACTATTATATTAATATTGAGAGTAATATTTTTGAGAGCAGTCAAGTTTTTATATTTTTTCAGTATGATACATTTTGCAGGGTATTATTCTGAGCGATTTGGTTCTAGGGTTTATTCTTCAGTTGGTCGACGAGTAGTAGTTCTACGAGAAGATCTTGTGGTCCGACCACGAGTAGTTCTACGAGAAGATCTAGTAGTTGGTGTTCGACGAGTAGTTGGGGTCCTACGAGTAGTTCGAGGTCTTCCGGTGCCACGAGTAGTTCTACGAGAAGATCTAGGTGTTGGTGCTCGACGAGTAGTTGGGGTCCTACGAGTAGTTCGAGGTCTTCCGGTGCCACGAGTAGTTCTACGAGATGATCTAGGTGTTGGTGCTCGACGAGTAGTTGGGGTCCTACGAGTAGTTCGAGGTCGTCCGGTGCCACGAGTAGTTCTACGAGAAGGTCTAGTAGTTGGTGTTCGACGAGTAGTTGGGGTCCTACGAGTAGTTCGAGGTCTTCCGGTGCCACGAGTAGTTCTACGAGAAGATCTAGGTGTTGGTGCTCGACGAGTAGTTGGGGTCCTACGAGTAGTTCGAGGTCGTCCGGTGCCACGAGTAGTTCTACGAGAAGGTCTAGTAGTTGGTGTTCGACGAGTAGTTGGGGTCCTACGAGTAGTTCGAGGTCTTCCGGTGCCGCGAGAAGATCTAGTAGTCGGTGTTCGACGAGTAGTTGGGGTCCTACGAGTAGTTCGAGGTCTTCCGGTGCCAGGAATTCCCGGCGTTGTCATCCTTGAAGTGGGAGGGCGTCTGGTGACCCCACCATCAATGCTGTTTCTCACATTTCTGCAGTTTATAGCAGCACAGCGCTCGAGTGTCACTGTTAAAACGACAGTATATATAAAATATGGATATTACTATTTATGTAGAACTTACATCGACAAGTGGCCAGCGACAATTCGCAGCGAGAAACATTGCGCCAGTTTCTAATTCCTGGCTGGCGGCGGCAATTATCATTAAATATGGTCGAAACATCATTTTGAACTCCCAATCTCCGTTCATTTCGACGGCAAGTTTCGTTTTCTATACGGCAAATTTCTTGATCACGAGTTTGGGCCTGAACAACCACGCAAAGGCAAAGAATAGCTAAAATGTTGATTACAAGGATTAATAAATATTTACAGTATATCGGTCTATATCCTTACCAAGAACGAGAGTAATTTTTGACATGTTGGTGGCAACTTTTTTGACTTCACTGATAAGTGTGCTTCGGTCTGGGGCTTTTATAAAGTGCTAGACAGCCTTCGGGCAAAGAACCTCGTGGCTTTCATGCCTTAAACCCTTTATTTAAACCAGGAAGTTATTGTCGTAATGCCCTCAAAAGATGGTCCAGTTTTAATAAAGGGTTTGAATAGGGTTTATGGCAATTTTGTAAAGCTTTTGTTGCATATTTTTAACTTTCACCTTTTGTTGTGAAAGTTGCTACGCATAGGTTATGGTGTTTATATAAAGTCGGTTTCTGCCAAAGTCTTCGGTAGTTGGCTAACTGATAAGTTCCCGTCAACAGCCATAAGTTCTAAAACTGAAATTATGCATACTAAAGCTGTTTTCACTGCATTTTCTGGTAAGCTGGAACCTAAAACTATGTAGCGGTGTTCCAAAATAATGAACTTTATTCTGGCTTATAGTCCTGTTCCTGGCTTTGGTGGCTGGGCAAAATCGCAACTGCGATGAACTGACCCGGAGGTGTGAACGCTGCGTGGGAACATTGAATAATCAAGTGGATCGTACCCTGCCCGCCCTCAATGCGGAGTGCAAAACTAGGACTCGAAACACCTGGCGTTGGAGGAATGTGGGGCGTTGTGAGCTCACCAGGCTCAATTGCTTGGGTAAGTTTTGAATAGTTAAGGCAGTACTATGTACTTCAATTTATTACTTATCCATCTGGCGTTGCCTTCAGGATCTAATCGGCGCATGAATTGCGAGGATATTGCTGAACTCGCTGGCATGGATCGTGTTAATTAATTAATTTATTAATAATGATTGATGAATAATAAACGCACCAGAGAGCATTGAAATACCAACTTGAATTCATTAATAAGAACCTTAACTCATGTACTGAAAATTTTAAATGGCAATATATGGGCTCTCTTTCATGTATCACAAGCACGACCTTAAGTCCTTTTACGACTTCAAGTCCTGATTGTATGACCTTAAAAATTAATTTGAGTGTCAGCTTATTCGTTTCATGATGCCGTAAATCGAGTTCACCAAATTAAAGCCACAGAAATCAGCCAAACTAACCGTAGAACACAAAAACCCAAACGCCCACCCAAAAAATCAGACAGACACACCAAAGCAAAAGAATGACGCCTTTTTTCCGATGGCCATTGACCAAAACTCCTGCATCTTTCCGCTGTTGCATTTTTGAATTTTAACTTGGTCTGAGTGTAAATGTACTTGCTCAGATTCAATCCCAAAGCGATTATCAGCACTTAGCTGTCAACGACACGACGCCAAACTCCGGGCCAAGAAACCGGCTGCGAACCGAAGCCAATGCTCCACAGCCAAATCCAAGACCAAGTCCGAAATGTTTCCAAGTCCAAGTCCAAGACCGAGTACGACCAAGTGCGAACGCCAATATCGCTGGCCAGGCACTTTGGATGTGGAGCTCTCTTGACAAAGGGCATGGCTGTTGAATGTGAGTGTCTACATGTGTACCTACTTCGCTGGCTCAAATAAAATTTACACTTACAAGTGGCGCTAAAGTCAAGTGCAATGCATTCCATATACCCCATCCCCTTCCCCTTTCCCAAATTCCCAGCCCCGATCCATTCGGAGCCCTTCTCTAACCACTTTTGGGACGTCAGCTGGTCAGACATGTCCAAAGTGGAAGGGAACCGAAGGGAAGGGAAAGGAAAGACGTTTCAGAATGGGCGGGGATCGGCGGGGCGACGGGTGCGGCAAATGTGGTCAAGAGTTTTATAAAGTTCATCATCATGGCCTGGTCTAAGCATTTTTCAAGTGCAGCGCCAAAAAGATTTTCAATTTTCAAATATTATATAAGCAGTTGGCACAGGCTGAGTGGAAAATCATCACTATCCATGCCCTGCCTTTGTAACGGGTATGTTTGCTATCAAATAGCGAAGAGAATTAATATATTCAGCTCTAATTTGTAATTTTTAAACTCGAAAAATTTACATAAATTTTAAGTTTATAATAATTATGGGTTTTATATTGGAAAAGTTATTTTAATATAAAATAAAATACTTTTCTAAACCTATTACTTTTTAATCTTTTACAACCTATAGATCAAAGCTGCTTCAAATATAATTCAATACCGTATTAAATTTCATATTTTATGTTTAGTAACTCCTATAAACTCTTATTCTATTACTTTGCTTAAGGGGAACACCAAGTTCGTTATTGTTAGGCACTCCAATCCCATCTCTGCACATTCATAAAGTACATAATCATGTTCATGACGTGAACTGAAGTGGGTGTCGGGTGGGAGTTTTGGGGTCGGGCAGCTTGTCCGTTGGCTGGTAAGGGTAAAAGCTTAAACCGCTACAAGTATTTAAAAAGCACTTCATACGGGCACAAATGCATGCACACAGTTTATATTAAAAGCATATTGAGCGGCCTTGCTTTGCTAAGTTCCATTAAATCAGCATCAACATTAAATTCATCCTAGGCACACTGATCTTGGGACCCATCACACAACGCACAATAATCAATTGTCAGAAACAGAACGGCCTGATTTAGTGCAAAACAATATAATTCAATGGTCAACAACTAGGTTATAAATGGTTAATAAATCAGTTAACATTCTTTTTGGGCTGCATTCAAGTGGGGCAGCCACATCCATTTTCTCCACTAGGAGGAATGCCAGGTCTGGGCCTACAGTTTCCGGGAATTTCGGGAACGGGTATTAGAGGACAGTCCGCACCGCAGCCTGGCGGGCAATTTGGATCAAATCTGTTGTTTGGATTGTTGGGAATGACAGGTCCGGGGCCGAAAGGTCCGGGGTATGTGGGTATCCTAGGACCGTCAGGATTCCAACCTGGTGGGTTCCACGCGGCACATCCGCAGGGCCTTCGAGGAGTTCGGGGTGGCCAAATCGGACCGCCGGGATTACAACCTGAATTTGGCGAGCCACATTCGTCTGGTTTCTTGGTAGTCCTTGGAGAGATTGGGATTAACGGACCGCCAGGATTCCAACCAGATGGGTGAGTGCGACATCCGCATGGTTTTTCGGTGGTTGTCGAAGCTGTTGTCACTGGAGGAGGTCTATGTGGCTTAGTCCTTCGAGTAGTGCTTTCTCTACAAGGTGGGCGCGTCCTATGAGTGCTAGGTGGTTTAGCCCTCCGAGTTGTGCTTTCTATACAGGGTGGACGGGTCTTCCGAGTGCTAGGAGGCTTAGTCCTTCGAGTAGTGCTTTCTGTACAGGGTGGACGGGTCTCCTGAGTGCAAGGTGGTTTAGCTTTTGTTCTTTGTGTAGTCTTCTCAGTGCAAGGCGGACGATTCCTGGCAGTAGTCCTTCGCGGACAAGGAACGGGTTTTTTAGTGATCCTGATGGGCCTCCGTGTTTTTTTGTTATGTTTCCGGAGTCTGGTAGTGCGCTGTCTTGGTCTTGGAGTCTCGCATCTCTTAATGATTCTCTTGCGCCTCCTAGTGACTCTCACAGGTTCTACTTTTACCCTATTAGGCTCCTTGTGTCTCTTGCGAACGCCTTCGTTGCACGGCTCCAGACCCAAAACTTTCTCAATCACCTCCAAGCAGGCTTCACTGTGTTCTGCATAGTGCAGCAGAAAGAAGCTCACTAAAAGGATCATTGTAACTAAGATACTTATTCATTTTCCAATGCAACTTACCCACTAAGCAGACCACAGTTAGTTTCATGTTGAAACCTCCTAGGAAGTTTTCCGAAACTGTGTGCATCTATACCTGCATAAAGAGCTTATATAGCATTCGGACTGGACCAGTTGACTTGACAATTGTGTAAATAACTGCAGAAAGAATGTAATTATAGACATGAACTCGGCCGCTGCAAATTGTGGGTTATGTATTTAGGCAACTTATTAATAAGCGCCACTGTGTTTGCACGTGTAACGTGGAAAATTTCTCCCAAGTTCAGATCTTCAGATGAACTCCCGTCTAGCGCTTGAACCAAAGCATTGGATGCAATCTCAGACAGCCAAGCAATAAATCCATTTTTTATGGCATCAAGAAAATCAAAAACATTTCGTTTGAAAAATTATGTTTCGGGATGAAAAGGAGGGCAGGGAGAGGTTTTGAAGAACTGCCAGACGATATGACGAGGATGCATCAAGTGTAAGACAAGCATGACGATGTGCACGATGTGGACGATGTGCGTGCCTGGCTCAACTCATCGCGATGCTGGTCTGGAGCCGTCTTTACGATAATGCCCCGTACGTGGAAGATGCTCGGTGGTCGGGCGACTGTTGATTCCTGGAAGGGCTGGGAGCTGAGGGCCAGAAAAATTGAAGGCCAAGACCGCGACTGCGACGAGAACATATCGCTTTATTGGCCGCACGGACAAGCTAGAGTAACCAACTCAAATCCCTTCAGATATGCATTTATTTGGACAAAATCGCTTTTAATATTTTAGCTGTGCTCCTCTGTGGTAATCACAGTGCTGGTGGGCATTCCTCTAAGTTCGCCTTGGCATCCCAGCGAGCTCTGCTATCACCAGGCAATCCAGTTTCCTCTTGTGAGCTGGAAGTCCGGAGAAGTCAATGATATTGTTAAGCACTTTAATAAATTGCATCAAAATAAGATTAGATGAGTTTGCCTTGCATATCATTTTTAACATAAGATCCATAGCTGCATTTGCTAACTTTTTGCACAGATTTTTAATTGCATGCAAGTAGTTTTCAGGACAAGCTACTCTTTTTTCCAAGAGGTTATATTACTTACCTCCGCAAGCGATGACTTGAAGATCGCAGCGAGTCTGATTCTTCCAGATGTATCTACCACGGACTTTCTCGCGGCATCCGTCGTTCATGAACTCCACATTATTGATGGGATTATTGAGTCTTCGGATGCAGGGATTGCAAGTGTCCTTTAGCTTACGGCAGTCAGGAGTTTGTCCACTAATAAGCACGGAGCCGAGGATCAAGATGACGCAGATAATACAAGTCGATTGCATTTTTAGGCTAACGTGTAAGCAAATCAACTGGAGTTTTCCTTCTGGCTTAAATTATAAAAGCGCAGCTTTATATAAGCTGGAAACAAGGAAGTGTTTTGGCCCAGATAGGACCACATCTGTTTTTCAGATTACCTACATTTCTGTATGAGATAATAAAGCAACTAAGATGCGCAGCTAGTTTTACCTATTGTATTTGTAAATTGTAAAATGGTGACAATGGCAAACAATTGGAACGCATTCTTTCTTGAGCAGTGTTTAGGGTATAAATACAGGGGCTATACTTCGATATAGTCAGAGTAGTGATCAAGTCCAGCTCAAAAACTTCTGCAATGTCGAAACTTCTGCTTTTGCTGGGTAAGCTAGTTTCCAAAAGGAGAGTACTTATATAATTACATTTCCTCCTTAGCTGTCTGCTGCATATTAATGGCCCAGGTCCTTGCTCAGGATGCCTCGGGTCGCCAGTTTTGCGATCGTTTATTTGCCGACTGTCTTCGGGAGCAGTCCACTGTGGGAACTAAGGATGATACGGTGGATCTATTTAATTCGTATTGCGGACGACATGATCGAAACTGGAGGAAAATAACCCGTTGCGAGCTGGTCAAAGCCTCATGTATATGTAAGATACTATTATTTATTTTAAAGGATTTTTCAATATGAATTTTTCTCCTCAGTGACTATGGTACGTTGCGATAATGTATCGTGCAAAAATGTGGCCGACAGCCTGCGGTCTTAAAACACTTCCATATTTTACTCTATTGAGATTCAATAAATGTGTTGTCAGCAGAAAAAACAAAATGTTTGCAATGAGAGCAAATTAAGGCATATTAATTTCTATTTTTATAGTATTTGTGGGGGTTGGTTCGATTTTTAGAATATATCCACTAATATATACCTAAGCAGTTGAATCAATTACAATTGTATACATACTTTAATAGTTGAAAATACTCTTACTCTACTCTCATTATTAGGCATTAAGCATTTACAGCTTAGAATATCACAAAATTTGACACATTTATTTACCTATAATAACACAATAATAATGTAAACCTATTCTAGGCTTAAAGTTCCTTCACTCTGCGCATTTGGGTAACATGGGCCATGGTCAGACAATCCTTTTTCCTAACGCCATCTACTGCAAATAGGAAAAATGTCATTTGTAGTCTTCAAAATGATAAAGAAATCCTATGTGGGTATACATACGTTCACAAGCGATTACCAGCATATCGCAGAGATCCTGGTCCTCCCAAATGTAAACGTCTTGCAACTTCTGCCTGCATCCATTGTTTACCACCTCCAATTTGTTGTAGCTATCGTTTAGCTTCAAAAGACACTGTGAACAGTGTTTTCCAATTTCTCGGCAGTCAGGTGCTAGCCCATTAGCGATGAAAAAACACAGGAAGAAAATGATCCAACAAGGATTTGACTTAATCGTTTCTAAAATCATTGCATCTGATCAGAGTCATATTGCAGACGTGCTTTATATAATATCAGCAACGAGGAAACGCAGCTCACACTTGTCAGACTTGCAAAAATCTGTATTTATTGGATCCGGAATTGAAAATTATCTGCTCAAAATACCGCTGCTTATATAGTAAAGGCATATAAGGCAGGTCCACAGCTGTTACTCAAGTGCTATAAGTATCTGGCCAGAATTGGAGATTCACAATAATGTTTTTACATATAATTTGTTCATACCGATTTCAGTTTTAACTTTAAACAAATTTAGTGCGCTCACTTTATTTATTACCTCGCTATCTCCTTTTAAATTTGTGAATTTTTATATTATCCTCCTCGAAAATGGTAGTACATCTATACAAAAACACAGAAATTAAGATAAATGCATTTTATGTTATTAAGATATTTATTAAGATAAAGTGAATGTCATGGATATTTGTCTGGTCATATTTGGTGCTTTATTACATTTGTTATCCCGGAGGCCTTGGAGTCACTTTCTTCATTTTGGCTATTTCGGCTATGACAACACAATTCATTGCTCTATTCGGAGCTGAAAATGAGCAATCAAACATTTAAGCAACTGTATAAGGATAGTAAAAAGATATTGGTTTACCTGAACAAGCTATTGCTTGAAGCTCGCAAATGTTCTGATCTGTCCATACATAGCTGCCTCGAACTCTGTTTCTGCATCCTTTATTTATGAAGTCCGCCTTGTTATAAGGATCATTAAGCCTTCGGATGCACTTCGAGCAATTGTTCTTTATCTCCTTGCAGTCTGGCGATTGGCCATGGACTATCACAGAGCCCAGGATCAGCAGGAAACAAAGAGTCAACTTCATCTTCAGATGACTTTGTGGTGGCTTGCACTCTGATGAAATCGTATCCAGACTGGGGCCTTATATATGATGGCCAACAAATAAACGAGGTCTTAACTGTCCCCAATTTATCGAACAAAAAGAATTTATTATATCGAATACTCGTAGGCTAAAAAGGTAGATTCATTTTATTGCTTGTCTCGTCAATTTCTATCGGTATGTTAAAATTTTTAAATCTAACTCCCTCAAACCGCCAAAAACAGCCACGAACTTTGGTTTTTTTTATTATTTGTTTTTACAATTTCTATCGATATGCCAAAAATAGTTTCAAATTTCTCGTTCGCACTGCCACTAATTGAGTAAGGGGTATCTGATAGTCGATGAACTCGGCTATAGCGCTGTAATTCAGTAAAACTGAATAAAGAAACAGATATATTCCCAATACCTGCGTTTATTCAGAAGAGTTTTCAATAAATTCTATAGCACTTTTTGGACAATTGCAAATGACAGCTTTGTATGTACAATTAAGGGTATAAATACCCTAAGACACTTTCTGGTCTAGTTAGTGTAGACCATTAAACTATTTCAAGCGTTACGCCATGTTAAAACCTTTGCTGTCAATAGGTAAGATTTACGAATAGGTATTTTTAAAGTATTAATTAATGAGTTCATTACAGCTATTGTGTGCTTGTTGGTGGCTCACATACAAGCCAATCCTGAAGAAGTTAGCAGGATTCATAAGATCTGCATTCGCACCTTCGATAAGTGTACTGAAAATGAAGCTAGGCTGGGAAAACAGGACGATACTTCCAGGTTCTTTAACGACTATTGTCGCCGTTCTGATTCTGGCTGGTCAGACGTAAGCAGATGTGATCTTCTTCGTATAGCCTGTTTATGTGAGTGACCTTCTCGAAAAGCCGAAGTAATATAATAATATATTTTTCTAATTACTCAGCTACTGTGCGCGATTGCGAAACACCGACTTGCAAGAATATTGCCCACCGCATGCGTCTTTGGTAAAAATTATAAGCGCGCTGTGCAAAGGTTATGTTAATAAACTGAAACAATATTATATGGCAAGATTTAGCTTTTTATTCTAATTATTGATTTAAAAGTAATATTTTAAGTTTAGCTGCCAATAAATATGGCATTTAACTGGGTTGTTGTTTCTGCAAAACTAAACTACATTTCCTAATTCAATAATAATGATAAATTGAAAATATCTGGCAACATTTTCCACATAAATATTTTAATGGAGTTTCCAAGATCCAAAAATGTATGTTTATGTTTCTGATTAAAGAGTTTACATAAAGTCTGTTATTCTAGCCACATTTTCGCAATCCAGTCGGGTTTCGTGATCTGCAATATCATACTTAATAATGATCTTACTTTCGCACGCAACAATTTGCAAATTTTCTCTGAGTTTTTCCCCACAATCCCTATTAATGAATTCCAGGTTGTTAACAGGGCCCACTAAACGACGTGTACAAGGACGACAATGTTCGCGAATCCTGGTGCAAAAAAATGGAGAGGCAGCAAAGGAAAAGTGTTAAGGAAAAAACGCACAGATATTGCATATTTATTACAACTGATAGCTGGAAACTGAGAAAAGGCGTTTTATACACAGGCGAACAGAGAAAAACACTTGTATAATAATGAAATTCAAATTAGAGCAGGGATAGTCATATCACAAAGTGGAGCACTGACATCTAAATTCTTGTTAGCAAAAGAAAATAGAGCTGGGTAAAGGTGTTCCTATTATTATGGTAAGGAATCTTGATCCGATTGCCATATAAATACAACCGCATAGATACTGTCACATCAGCTTGGGAAGCTTAGAAATGTGAAAAATATTCTTGCTATTTGGTCAGAGTTATTCTTGTCATTTCTGTCATTGTTATTTTTTTTCCTACACCTTTTTTAGTTCTTTGTGTCCTGCATATTAAAGTCTGGAATCCTGCGAGAATGTCTATAACGACTTACAACGATTTACTCCCAGAATAAGACGATTTGATAAGACTATAGATTCCATTAATCGTATTTTGATGTGAAATGGAAAAAGCCACTTGCCTTTGTGAGTCACACTTTCTATTTTAGTTTTATTACCAGTTCACAAATTTTATGTTTCAGTAATTATTCTACACTGTGATGACAAGTCCTGCAGCAACTTTGCAGATACCTTGGAATTGTAATCAAGTCGTTTTAGGAAACAAGGCTTTGTTCATAAACAGAAGATATCAACAAAAGCTTAAGCAGTAACAGCCTTGTAATAAACACATTGTTTCATCAAAAGTAAATAAAAATCAAGAAATTCAATTCAAGGTCCAACTCTATAAAAGCAGTTAAAGTAGGAATGCATATTTAGTTATAATAAAGATGTCAATCATAGTGGTGCTGCTCGGTAAGCGCTTTCACTATATGGTTTTAATATTGTTTTGTGCCTATAATGCCTCGAAAGTTGTCAGTGTTTCTACAGGAAGTGAAGGCAGCTATTTTGGGGATTTATTGAAATGCAATGATTTGTTGCTAAAGTGTCAGGAAACTGAAACCATAATGGGCAAGTTCAATGGAATGGCAAATGAGCTGAATCAAAACTGCAGTCAGGAAATTGGCTCCAAGTGGAGCAATGTCACCCGTTGTGAATTGGAAGCCACAAAGTGTTTGTGTAAGAATATATGCAAATAACCTTAGTATAATTTTAAAAATTGACCTATTGTAGTGAACCAGATGATTGCAATGGACGCGAATTGTGAAAATATAGCTGATGTAATGCATCTTTGAAAATCATATTTAAAATGAAAAGAGTAGCGGAAATGGTAAGGAATAAAACATAACTTATTTATTCAAATTTGAATGCTTCAAACTTTTCGATTGCCTCCCCTGAATTCTCCGTGGGCATTACTTTTAAATGGAATATATTTTCTGGCCTTTGGGGCATCTGCTGTCTCCTTGTTTACCTTCTCATAAATCTCACCCTCGACAGGAGGAAATATTTATGAGCTAATCATTTCTAATTATCATCGAGCGACAACAAAAGCAGAGTAAACTGCTACTGGAAAATCTAATCACATGCTGAAAAGGCGGACAGAAATAATTACGCCAAGACCTCGGGGCAGCAGGAGCGAAAAAGCAAAGACTCCCAACTAAAACAAAAATAAAAATAAAAATCAATTTCAGAGCATTTCCTGGCCACGTTGCACGTGCCACGTGCCAAAACAACAACAATAACAACTCGAGTGGAGCTGCCTCGCTGGGGTATTCCCCCATATATATGCTGATAGCACTCGAACCCAAAATTTGATTACCTTTTCGGGGTAGCAGTTTGGTGCCCTCTGGCAGAGAGTCAATTACTGCAAGGAAGCGCCCGACGATGTCGTCATCCGAATCCTTCCCCGAATCCTCGAAGAGGAAGCACTCCACAAAGTTGCTTAATATTTATCTAGCGTCGGTAATCAGCCATCCCCGACATGTGGCCATGATCTCGATAACAAACAAGGCCAAAAGCAAACAGTAAGCCCGGCAAACAAATCTGGGCAGACCAGGCAACCCAATGCGTTTTTAATAAACTGCCAGTTAATAATAAAATTTTCAGTGAATGTGATTATGATTACAATCGCAGTGATGACAAGATTGAGAGATACAGCTGCCGCCCCGCCCCAAACTTTAGCTTCGTTAGGTGTTCGTTTGAGTTACTTCAGAATCAGAAACTGAGTGTGAAATTTGGCAGCTTGTTACAATTTTCCACCGGATCGGGAAGTAGGGAGCCTGCAACCATTGACCCTAATCATGTAGCAGCTTGTAAAATGCGAGCGTGAAAAGAAAATTGAAAAGTTAGTTCGACGCCGGGTTTTCCGTCCGCCCCTAAAATCCCACTTTGCGCCAGTTCTGCTTCTGAAAGGCTGTTGATTTGGGAAATTCCTTAAACTTGTCCGAAAGTCGGGCTGTAAAAGCCAAAAGTTGTTGAAGGTATGTATGCTAAGATTATGGCAAGTTTTCTTAAGTGCGAAAATGAGGAAAGCTATTTGAGTTTAACGAACTGTGGGTGCAATGCGGGCTTTTTAGCTCTACTTTGAATAGCTTAGTAGTATTTTAATTCTTCAAATATATTATTATTAAGAACATACATATCCCTATATTTTATCAAAAACTACACTTGTACAGAAAGTTCCTTAATTGTTATATTAGTAGTTGTATTGATTAAATGACCCCCTTTTATTCCTATATTTTATCTATTGTCAGTTTAGCTTCTTCAACGCCTTCCTTACAACTTTAATTTCTTCCGAACAAAGGCCTTTAAGAACACTAAAAAACACCTTCCGAGGGTAATCGACAGCACACTCCCCCAGACAAAGGCCAAGCCACCCAAACCACCCAAACCCACCCAGTGCAGCGAACCACCCCCTTTTATGGCGAGCTCCCCATTCCATGGCTGCAAAACACCCCACAAAAAACCCCCCAATAGATGGGCACACGTTTTGTTGCAATCCCGATGAGGAAATGCTAATCCGCATGTAATATTCGAAAATGATATGAAAATGCCAAACCAAACAACCACCCAGCGAAGCAACCCGACTCCAAAAGTCCACGGATCCAGAGATCCAGAGTAAAGCAGCCAGGCTGAACGGAACCAACATTACTCAATGTCAACATCAAAATTGCTATGGAATTCATGCATTCATTTATTTCGCCTTCAACAAAAAGGCAAACTAACGCAGTATAGAAATTTTCATTTTCGGCTGAGTTTTAATTCGGGGGAATCGGAATCTCCGGGGTCCTTAAATAGCTGAACAGCCGGTTGGGATTGGGAATGGGAACGGGAACTTTCATGCTGATTAAAAGTGGCAACTGTGTCTACGGGGTTGCGATGCTTTTTTGAGTTTTCGGTTTGGGTTTCGTGTTGCAACCTTTTCCACTTGCCACCGAGGGTTGCCCCAGACACAACGCAAAGGGGGTGACTCATCCTGCTCCTGGCGGCTGCACTTGTCCTTTGCCATTAAACAGAAAAAATTTCGTCACAGACGGTGGCGTGAAATTTCGAAACGAATTCTCTAAACTCGCTCATTGTAATTTCTGTAATAAGCGAGTGCATGGGCATGAGGCATGTGGCCAGGAAGTTTGTTTTTGTTTAAAGTTATTACAATTCAGTTGGTTGTTCCGCGGCTGGAATTTGTGGTGGCTGCAAGGAGGCGGGTGATGCGTGATGCGTGGTGGGTGGTGGACCAACTCCGAGTGGGTGGGTCCGCGCAACAGCTGGTGCTCCTGGCCAGAATGCGACCAGCACTTGGCCGCAGTGTGGTCGATTTGAAGGACCCTTGTCTCGCCTCAGCACTTGTTTGCTTTTCGCCGATATGTTTGCGTGAGTGCGGGGATTTTAATTCATTGGAAGGGCAAACAAATGCGCAAAAGTCAAGCGACTTATGGGAATGGGTCGTGATTTTAATAGCAAGTACAAATTGCTTTCTAATGCAACAAAAACTAACAACAGTCAGATAAATAGCGTTAGGCACTAGCGACTTTTCAGAATTTACATTACATAAAAAAATTTAATAGGGTCAGTGACATGACTTAAAACGTTGAACTATTAGATAAGTCCTTGGTCCACTAAACAGTATCATATGCAAACAGTGGAATGTTGTTTATAGCCATATGGCAGACTAGTCTCGAGAAAATGCGCACATTAAAAATCATATTATAGTGCACTTTAAAATCGGTCGTTAAGTCCAAGTATCGCCAGCTTGATTCATGATTCATAAGTAATTGTGCAATCTCAGTGCTGGCAAACAAAGCAAATCCATAAAATGTAGCCGGCTAGACAGATAAATCGAGCAGAAAACCTCGATGAAGCCGGCGACGTGTTTGGAGCTGTTGACATGCCACGAACCTGAAACAATTAACGTCCGATTTTGATATGTGTAAGAGCGGGCTAATCGAAAATCCCCATCGACCAGACAGCAGACAGCAAACATGGGACAGTCCAGGTAACAATGTGATATTTGCCAGTCGACTGAGCAGCAAGGAGTCCTGGTCCGCAGGACAAGTGTTTTCGGCGATAACAAAGGTGTTGCACAAACGAGGTTCTGGCCAGTCGGATTTATGTAAGAGGATGCACCTAGAGAAAATGTAGTGAGTAGTGTGGATAGATCCAGATACCACAGATAGATGGAAAAACCGTAGAAAGCTGTGCTAAAATTGCTAATAAAATTTCCCACTGTGTACACAGTATTTGTACACTTTGTTGCATAGCTAAAAGCTAAAAGAGGCTGATGGATTTATAAAATCACAACTGAATAGGAGTTATTGTCGGTGCCGCGTGGGAGCGAGGATTGTGCCCATTAAACGTCAATTTCCAGTCGCCGCCGCACATCAAACGCTGGAAAAGGACATCGCATGCATCCCGCTGAGCGCGTGTCCTTTGAATTAGAAGCGATCCCAAGTCCATGATGCGGTCGGTCAGCTCGTTGTATCCCTACATATATACATGCTCGTGTATGTCCTTAGTTCATCTGGCGCGCCTGAGTTATGCGAGCATTGTTCCCATCGCCTTTCGGCCAGTGAATTATTATCCCTTTCGCATATGTTGCGGCCCGGCATTGTCCTTCGGCCGCCTCGCCACGTATCCTTTCAAATGTCTGCTGCTCGGACACGCCTTGGAAATTGGGCGTTTTGCAGTTAAACGTCGTTGGCGCAAAGTTTTTGGGGCGTGTTCGCTTCATAAATTGATTTTTGTTTCTGTAGAAATTTGGTTTCCTTTATTTTTGGGTTTTGTAGATTTTCTTTGCCTCGAATTTCATAATTATCGGGGCGTGTGCGAGCACTCTGGATACATATATTCCTTTTACCGGATCCTGCACTTGTGCAACTTGTTCGAGGAGATACAGAAATCAATTTGCTGCCTTACCCACCCCATCGATTGCCCTGTTTCCAGTTTTTTTTTGGTTTTTTGTGTACTTTTGGGCTGCGGTCAATGTTCTTGGCCAGGCCAGCAGTTGTGGTCAACCAAGTGTTGGACAGCATTATAAATATTTGAGCTTGCCTTTGCAGCTTACGGAAAACGAATGTCCGGAGCGGAGAAATTACTGCTGCAGTGCGTTGAATTGTTAAGGAATCTCGAGTGCGGGTCGGTTGTTGATTTTATATTCTGCCATAAATCGTTGTAATGAAAAACTTGTTCAGACGCAGATTAAAGTTCTTCGGGCACTCCATTGAAACTTGCATTTATTGTGATAAGCTGACCCAGTTTTGGATTCATATCTTGATACAAATTGGTTGCAACATTTCCGGGGAGTCAAACTTTCTGGGCTGCTTCAGATTACCACAATTAAATGGCAACTTAATATTGGGCAATTCTGTTCCACTTAAAAGTTTAAGCTTCCTTTTGTGCCGAAATGGCTGGAAATTCAAATCTCGATTAGCCGAAATATCCTGTGGAGGCATGTCCTATCATTATATATCAGCTCCGAAAGCGCTCTGCATCTATGAAAATTACACATTTGCCAACTGCTAATTGCAAGTCATAAATTAAACCCTCACCCGGCTCTCGAAAGGACTAGCACGCTCGCAGGACTCTGGTCACTGGAGACAGGACACTGGGCGGTGATCCTTTCGGGCCCAGGACACAGATACGAAACTGAACTGAAGTGCGGGGCTGTCAAAAACTTTAGATTGCATTAAAACTGCTCATAGGCCGGCGGCATAGTTGTGCGACACTCACTCGGAAAAATATGTTATTCGATTTATGGTAATTGCAGCTAGTGCATATTTTTAATTGGCCAAGTAAAACGGTGGCTAAGATATATCTA